GCCCAGTGACATGGCAAGTCACAACAGGCACAAACTGAAATACAGGAGGTTAGACTTAAATACAAGAAAAAACTTCTTTACTCTTCTTTACTCTGAGAGTGGTCAAACACTGGAACAGGTTGCCCAGCAAGGCTGTAAAGATACTCAGAACCCAACTGGAAAAGATACAGAGCAACCTACTCTAGCTGCCTTTGCTCTGACCTGCAGGGGTGATCTAGTCAATCTCCCGGTATCCCTTTTGAGGTCTCTTCACGGAATCTCAAAATTTCTGTGTTCTGTGGTATTTGTGGCTGCCACACTCCTGAATCTCTCCATTTCATGCCATCTTCCTTTCTTCCTCCTTCAAAGTTTGCCCTGACTTACTGCATCATTTCCAGTTTCTTCTCCTTCCTGCCTTTCTTTTTTTTAACACCCAAGACCTTGCCAGACTGGGTGTTCTCTCCTGCTCCACTTGCTCTCCATTTCAGAATGATCCCAGCTGGGCTGAAATTATCTCAGGAGTGAGTTTCATTGGAAGACCATAAATATCCTATCACTTCTTAGATAAAAAGAAAAAGAGAAAAGGACTGGAAAGGAGCAGCTCAATTAAAATTTTCCCACAGATAAGAATTTTCTTAGGTATCAGTGAAAGAAAAATAACAAAATGTATTATTTCTCCCATGCTGCAACACATGCTGGAAAAAACGCTGGAAAAATCCCTCCTCTTTTTCACAGTTTCACAGAACAGGTGAGGCTGGAAAGGACCTCTTGGAAGTCACCTGGTCCAACCTTCCTGCTCAAGCAAGGATACCTAGAGCCAGTTGTTTCCTTCTAATCCATTCTTGAGTATTCTCATTTCTTGTGATGCCTTTATCACTTTAACATGTTTAAGCTACTGCTCTTTAAAAATACCTGCCTATTACATTAACAGTGTCTGTCTCCCTAAGTTGTCTTTCATGTGTAGACTATAAGCTGTTCAGGACAGGTGCCACTATTTTGTTCTTTGACAGCTCAGTGATCTCTTAGCTGTTAAGACTGTACTAGTGATAGATGATCTTGTCTGTGCCTTGGCACAGATAGACACTTTTTCTGTTTGTCACATTTTTCTCTGTTTTTAAGAGCTGTTCATTGCATTTAAGCACATAGGATTTAAGACATAATGTATACCATTTAAAAGCAACATTAAAGACTTTGCCAAAGTGATGACTCCTAATTATGTATTTTACCCCCTTGGAAAGGTCAATTCCTCCTTCTCTGTTGATAACAAATGACCTAAGTCATACTGAATTCTCCGCTGAATTAAAAAAAAAAAAAAGTTCAAATCTTCAAGATCTAATATGTGATAATTTGGTCATGGAGGTCCTTTTTAACTTCAAATAGCTTTGGAAAAGACCAATATTCCAATATTTAGATGTATGCAACAACTATAGGGCTATCATTTTACATGGATATAATCTTGGACACTCCAGATTAAAAAAATCCAAGTGGAGGATAATGACTTTACTCAACACTACATATTGTTAGGATGATAAAACACAGTCTATCTAAATATATTCTGAAAGGTGTTCCTAAAGTATTTCTCCTTACAGCCAAAGTGAAGGTGTAAAGCATCTTTATGAGGAAAATACACCTTGGCAGAAAGGAGAGGCAATTTGTAAGCTATCAAGGATGTTTAACTACTTTATGTCAGGGAATATGTATGCATGTATGTTAATGTATGGTGAAAATACAGGTTTTTATTTTCACCCCTGAACTGGAGAATCAAGAAATACTGAAATCTGGCTTGTATACTACCATAAAGTAGGCTTGTCTTTGGAATGGTCATGCTTTCTGTTTCTCTGTCCTGAGTGACTATAGGTATCACATAATAAATGGCAAACACAGATTAAAGAAGGGTAATAAAAAATAGAAGTGGTAACAAAGGTCCCACATGTTGAGAATGGCATTGTCCATTACATGACTGCCAACATAACTCAATGATATTTCATTCCCCCAAAGATTTCTCACATTCAAGCCTTCTAATAATTCAAAATGTTTGTTTAAAGGAGTAAAAAAACATAGTGACTTTCACAGAATGAGTAAAATGACTCCATATTTTATATTTTCTCCTTAACATGTAGTTTAACCACCAGGAATCATTTATGAGAAGTTTTAAGGAGTCCACTTACATTGTGGGTTGCACAGTCTCCATTATTTATTGCAATAACACATGCGGGCACCATGTCTAACAAAACAGTTCCAGAAGAAGCAACATAAGAAATTACTGCTTTAGCTCTTGAATTAGTTTGTATACTGTGTGGTCTTTTTCTTGATCTTCATTGCATAGCACTGCAGATTTCCTGATGACATTTTGTTTGCTGGAGCTGCTAAGGGTACGCGGAACCACTGAACTGAAGTCCTGATCAATGTGCTGTGACTGACACATAATTCACCATTTAACCACTGCTGTACATGATATATTGGAGGTGATATGAACATGACCCTATCCTCAGTGTATTTGGGATCAAGTACTAATCTTCAGCAGAGAGCTTTAAAGTACTGTAGAAAACGCTTTTTTTCCCAAATGATCACAAGTGCAGGGACTTGTGAGACTACTTTTTTGTAGCAAAAAGTAAGAGAAGATTTTTGTACTTATGAAAGATTAATTAATGTATTCTATTCATTAGTACAACTAATCCCTCAGAACATCTTATTACTATCTGAATATTTTCCTTTTAAGCAATCATTTACAAAAGTGTAAACTCACACAGTGCAGTATATTCTGATGTTATTCTGGCTTTCAGAAATCACTTTGCCCTTGAAAGTTCTACCAAGCAAATATAAGACACAGAACAGCTGTATAGGAAAGAAAATCCAATTTATGAATTTTTTAACTTGTCATGTTTAACAGAAAATTTCATCCTTTTGGCTTCCCAAAATGTTATCTTTTTTTTTTTTTTTTTCCTTTCTCCTGCTATGCATACATGTTTGATTCTACAAAGGGTAATTTACACCAAAGATGCTATTCTGCTGCCAGCCACATCAGTGCCGACCTGTAGTAACTGTATTTGCATTTGGATAGAACTGGTCACCTTTCGTTGAATGCCATCAATTGAAAAGGGCTTTTCCCAGCGGTTGAATATGACTCCTGGTATTTTGTGAAACTCAGATTTTGGGCTGTTTGTGAATTAACATCAATGTGTGTCTTTTAGAATGCCTTTAAGGTCAGTATTTCTGACATAGAATACGTATATTTATACATGTACATACATATATGTATACACACACTCTATGAAATTAATCCAGGAAGTCACAACCAATGTGTAAAGCTGAGGAAACTCCTGCAGAGGCCATTGCTTTTGTGTGCAACTAGATTTCTGATGTTTTCTTACTTATGCCCATATAAAAGCTGATTTGTACTACTGACCTTGGATACAAGGCAGTTTATGTATCTTGTCAGAGATCTAATTCAAAGCCTGACAGAAAGACTCAGACGGGTTTTAAGGCACCTTGGAAAATCCTTCAAACTTACGCAAAATAAGATAAAAGCTTTTGAATAACACATCTTATAGATGAAAAAGATCTCTTTTTTCTTCAGTTATTTTCTCCAATCACTAGATCATATTTTGTAAACAATAACTCACTCTT